AGACAGACTGGATGATGGTGAGATCAGATCTCTGTGTGCAGCTGGCTGTTGTCAGACTCCTTGTGCAAACAAAAATCTCACTGGATTATTACAATTAATGGCTAAAGAAATGTAAACTGATATTTCCTCCTGACACACTACAGCAAAAGATAACTGGCTTAATCTACTAATAGCCTAAGACTTTTGCACAGTACTGTATATTTTTATAATATTTTAAAGGAATATTTCACCAAAAAATTACTATTCTCAAACTCAAATTGTTCTAAGTCTGTATGAGTTTCTTTCTTCTTCTGAACACAAAAAAATGATATTTTGAAGAATATGGGTAACCAAAGAGCTGCTGGTCCCCATTGACTTCCATAGTATCGAGAAAAAAAAAATTGTATGGATGTCAACAGGGACTAGAAACTGTTTGGTTGGTCACTTTCTTCAAAATATAATCTTTTGTGCTCAGCAGAAGAAAGAAACTGTTTGGAACAACTTGAGGGTGAGTAAATGATGACAGTATTTTCATTTTTAGTGATCTATCTCTTTAATGTTTACCATGCCATAAAGTTGTGTTTTATCTTTATGTCTGCATTTTATACATGGTTGTGGTGAACCATAAGCAAATTATATTGTGGATAATAAAGTAAACAAAACTAAACAAACTGAAATAAAATTTGACATCTGCCAAAAAGGACACCTGCTTCGCCGCTTAAGAGTAAACAGGAGTGTAAAATTCCTATTATCAAATATTTTTTTGTGGAAAATGAAAATATTTTTATTAAATAAATAAATAAACATACATACATACATACATTCTCACACACACACACACACACACACACATACATATATATTAATTAAATTTTATGGTATTGTGTACATTGATCACCCAGATCTCTCTCTCTCTACATGCAATCAATAAAAATATTTGTACATAATAGCATTAAATTCAAAATCTTAATTTATTATACCATAAAATCTGAAAATCTAAAGGCTCATGTACCTGTTAATGTAGCTGAGGGCGACATAAGTGGGCTGCTGCAGTTCCTGTTTCTCCAACACACGAGGATCTGTATCTAAACAAAACAGAGAGATGAATAATTCACTAGACTGACAAAGACGCCACAAAAGAACAACCAAGAGCACTTTGAGGCTTTAAGGGTTTCTGTAGTGTAACAATATATTCCAAACAACATTCACAAAAAGCATATATAAAACTCTTCGGGTGACAGCAGCGCTGTTTAAATCTGTGTCACCCCAGAGAGTCATCCTGTGGCATCAGAATCAGTGAGTTTGTGGAAGCTTATGTGTCATTGCCAGAGTGAAGCTATTACTCACTTTATTGTTTAAGTCATCAACTTTCAAACTCAATACTAGATTCTGCCACACAACATGTCCACAATCACTTGCAGATGGCAATTAACTCAATTAATCAAGTTTTTTTCATTAAACTCTACTTAGTGGCAGAATAAATCAGCACTTCTGCATGGGAGAGAGACCGGACCGGTCGATGGAGAGCGTATTCAATGGCTGTTTGGTAAAACTTAAGGCAGCCATTTGGTTAGTCACACCACACCACACACTCTATGAGCTCTCTGCCATTCCTCCCAGATGTGCTCATTTTCTGCACTCCACTCAGGGCCACCCAGATCACCCGCCAACTGGATCCAAATGCCCGCACGCCAAGGCAAAGATGGTTTTATATCTGGTTTTTAGTTGTGCATATTAAAGAGTCGACTTCAGAAATAAAGATATCTGTTTTGGGGCTGTTCTGTCAAAACGGCTTCCGATTCTATGCGGTCAATGCTGTGGACTACGCTGCCACCTTGTGGCGAATGTGTATATATTTCAACCATGATTTCAACATTATTTCACTAAATTATAGACATTAAACATCCCAGTTTAAGTTAGCTCGCTCACTTACTGTTATTTTGAGATCCCTTCGAACACAAACCGGCTAAAATGTCTCTAAACTGCATCTCATTGCCTGCAAGCGCAAAAATCCGCTTAACGTCCCAGCAACTGTAACGTCCCTTCTGTGGTCGGCGGTGCCCGCATACCAGCGGCTCTGCCAGGGTAATGGTTTTCAGATGCCTGTCTCTCCGGGCATTCTCCAACACCATTAACACAAGCACTGCCAAAACACAGTTTCATCTAATGAGCCTCCCCTGCGCACCCCCCTGAGATGCATCTCAATGCCTCTTTTTATGCCTCTGCTGTGAGTAAACACATTTCTTTCCGCCCCATTTAACCCGAAACATATTTGTCTCAGCTCTTCGAAACCACGCGGCACCCCGGCGTGTCTGAACTGCGATTTCGGCCAGCGTGGCATCACACACAAGCTCTCCATGGCTCGGCCACCTCGTAATTACAGAGGCACGCAGATGCTGCCACCTGGTTGTTACCGTGGCGACGCCCAACACACTCTCAAGGCAATTCGGTAACTATTTTACGTTTTGCCGAATTGGTGGGTAAAAATTCACAACAAAACTAATTTTTGCCCGTCCGATTTTCGTATGCGATTTGTCTGTTCAGAATGAACATGCAGTTTCAGTCTCTGACAGTAGGTGGCATATGCTATTTGCGCATCAAGATGCTGATATACCCTTTTAATATGCATAACTTTCCATTTCTGACACCTACAGTCAAACTGCATTTACATTTAATCTTTGAATTTGATATTCACTGTTGCTTAGAAAAATAGTCTGTGAGCACCTCTAAGTCTGCGCTACTGTTAAAAAACAACTTGCAAAAAAAAATCTGTTGCATTGACAGCATGCAAATGTTTGTGTTGGTCTGAAAAGATGCATTAAGGGGCGGTCACACTGCACTTTTCTTTCTGTTGACTTCCATTTCGCATGCGAGAAGAGGGAGAGCGGAAACGCAAGCTCATGCGAAGTTTTGCGCTGCTTCCGAAATCGAATGCTTCCCTACTATATAAGAAAATCAGTACGCTAAAGGAGTAGTATGTCCGAATTCACAGAATTCGAAAATCAGTAGGCGAAAAGTACCCGGATAATATACTATTTCTGCCCAGATTTGAAGTGCACAGTCGATGGACACTTTACTATCCCATTGGTAAATTATCCCAAGTTAAAAACAAAATTTATTAAAATGTAGTACCTACTAGGGCTGTGCAATTAATCGCATGCAATTGTCAAGCGCATCTCGTCAGTAAAGCCGGTTCCGTGATTAGTAGTAAATCTCCATCACCTGCTTTCAGATGGAGCGGCATTTACTACACAGAGCCGTAGTTCACTGACAATTAGGCAATATCGCGTTCATAATCGCAGATGAATCGTATTCGATTATGAATGCGATATTGCCTAGCTTGTCAGTGAACTACCCAGCGTGGCATCACACACAAGCTCTCCATGGCTCGGCCACCTCGTAATTACAGAGGCACGCAGATGCTGCCACCTGGTTGTTACCGTGGCGACGCCCAACACACTCTCAAGGCAATTCGGTAACTATTTTACGTTTTGCCGAATTGGTGGGTAAAAATTCACAACAAAACTAATTTTTGCCCGTCCGATTTTCGTATGCGATTTGTCTGTTCAGAATGAACATGCAGTTTCAGTCTCTGACAGTAGGTGGCATATGCTATTTGCGCATCAAGATGCTGATATACCCTTTTAATATGCATAACTTTCCATTTCTGACACCTACAGTCAAACTGCATTTACATTTAATCTTTGAATTTGATATTCACTGTTGCTTAGAAAAATAGTCTGTGAGCACCTCTAAGTCTGCGCTACTGTTAAAAAACAACTTGCAAAAAAAAATCTGTTGCATTGACAGCATGCAAATGTTTGTGTTGGTCTGAAAAGATGCATTAAGGGGCGGTCACACTGCACTTTTCTTTCTGTTGACTTCCATTTCGCATGCGAGAAGAGGGAGAGCGGAAACGCAAGCTCATGCGAAGTTTTGCGCTGCTTCCGAAATCGAATGCTTCCCTACTATATAAGAAAATCAGTACGCTAAAGGAGTAGTATGTCCGAATTCACAGAATTCGAAAATCAGTAGGCGAAAAGTACCCGGATAATATACTATTTCTGCCCAGATTTGAAGTGCACAGTCGATGGACACTTTACTATCCCATTGGTAAATTATCCCAAGTTAAAAACAAAATTTATTAAAATGTAGTACCTACTAGGGCTGTGCAATTAATCGCATGCAATTGTCAAGCGCATCTCGTCAGTAAAGCCGGTTCCGTGATTAGTAGTAAATCTCCATCACCTGCTTTCAGATGGAGCGGCATTTACTACACAGAGCCGTAGTTCACTGACAATTAGGCAATATCGCGTTCATAATCGCAGATGAATCGTATTCGATTATGAATGCGATATTGCCTAGCTTGTCAGTGAACTCCATGTGATTAATTGCACAGCCCTAGTACCTACTCAGACAGTATGCAACAGTACGCATATGGCCCGCTGACAGGTTTAGGGGTGGACTGTCATGCTTACGGTTTTGTTTTTGTTCTGTTTTTTTTTAAATCACATGTTGTTACAATACTGTCGGTCATATTGTACGAATTTATACAAAATCACCACCTTGTAAAAATTATGTTCTCTCATGAGATTGGGTGACGGCGTTGGGATAACGTAACTATTTTCTGAGGTGGTAAACTCGCAATTTCGTACAAATTTGTTTGATGTGAATCATGTGAAAGCATTCGATTTTTAGAAAAAGTAACCATGAAGGTTTACCCCTAAACATGCCCATCATAGGGCATAAGCAGATCATACAAAAATATACGAATGAGACTGTATGATTTAGACTACACAGATGCTTCACCAACAACGGCATTATATGGGCCGGTATGGGGTTGGTTTCAGTTGCCATCTGAACAACAGGCTTCTTGAAGGGCAGGTAGGATGTAGGTGTGTCGTTCCGCGTCGGTTCATTGTTTAAAGCTTTCAGCTCTGCCTGCACCTCAGCTAAAGTGTTTCATTAGCACTGATTTAACTACTGCGAGAAAGACCCCACACCTTTCTGCCAAACACACACACACACACCATGCTGTACCTGTGCCAAGAAAAAGGTGTTTTGTATGTGTGCATAGCTGCATATAGTCACACACACATGGATCAATCCGAACACACTCCGTAAATCACACACAGGATTGCCCAGGTTCCTTAGGGCCTGAAGTCACTAACGGGCCCCAGAGCTGCTGCCTACCAGGACCCCATTACAGGGAGAGGTGGTCCACAAGTACACAAACAGGTGGTCTACCATGGTGGTCTCTCTCTCACAGACATAGGCACATTATTTCACTACTGCTCAAGACCCAGGAAGACTGACAGAGTTTGAAGAGATCAAAGGAAGGGTAAACAGAGTAAGAGAATATCTTAATAACAGATAGACATAGGTGAATGGTTAGATCAATTAGGTTAATGATCTGTATTAATTAATTTCAAAATCAGCTGACATCTTTATCCACATTTTTAACATTTTCAGTGAATTAAAGGGATAGTTCACCCAAAAATGAAAATTCAACCATAATTTAATCATCCTCATATTGTTCCAAATTTACTGTATGACTTAGGCTACTTTCTTCTGTTGCACATAAAAGAAGATATTTTGGTTACCATTGACTTCCATTGTATTAATCAACATATCGTTTCACTGAAGAAAGTCAAACAAATTTGGCAATATGTTGTATTACATATCTGCATTATATATCAGTATTATATTACGGCCATTGGTCACCTTGCTCTCTAGATTCAGGTACTGGCCATTAAAATCAGTCAATTATTAAAAAATAATATAGATTACCAGCAAAATATGAATTTTGAATATGACAAGTAATGTGATTTATTGATGCACAGATACTAAAATTCTGCCCGATAACAATGAACTAATAATCATTTTCATGTTATGGCTGATAACCGAAATAGACTATTAAAATTAAAATGATCAACTATTTTGTTTAAATCATCAAAAAATAAAAAAATTACACTTTATAATTTTCAGTAGTAAAATGGGTTTTAATTTTGAGATTTACTAGATCACATTTAACGGTTTCATTAAATTGGTGATTTTAAAGACGAACTTTAAGTGAATGTTAGAT